AGCTCAGTGCTGGGGCTCATTGAGTGATGTCTCCCTACCCTTGCATGATAAAAGGCTAGAGCAAGAAGAAACTTTAGAAATGATCTGGTCCCACACCCTGATTTTTTCTGAGGAAGAAAATGACACCCACAGAAGGAAGAGAAGATAGAAAGGGATTTGAAAGTGACCTATGATTTTTAAATCAACAGCTCAGGCATCATTCATTTATTTTTTGGAAACAGGATTGTAACAGATAAATTCAAATTCAACTAACATCTCTTCAATGCCTTTTGCGACCAGTGACTCACAGACATAGAACAACATGGGGATGGCTGAGTATGAGAGGGATGCGGATCCCCAAGAATCGAAAGTGAACATCACCCAGAAGGCAGTGGGGAAGTATGTGGCAGGTGTGAGCAGACTACAACCTGTGACTGATAAATAAACATTACAAACACGAATTCTGAAGGAGAACCAGGGTGAAGTGTGACATCAAAGAACTGCATAGTTAGAGTGGCAGTGGAAAGTGTGTGGGGTTTGGAGGAAGAGAACCCAGGTCTGAATCCCATCTCTGATATCCATTAACTGTGAGTTCTTGGACAACACACTTAGCCTCAGTGCCTCAGTTACTTATTTTAAAGGAGGGATAGGTAGTACATGGCCTCCAAAGACCCTTCCAGTTTGGAACCCACGGTCATAGGATAACCACTGTATGGCTTTGTGTGTTCCACTGGTATCGTCAACACGTCTGGAGAGAGGACATGTTAGATGGACCCCTCTGTAGGGAAGGCCATTGCCAAGAGTTCCACAGACTGAGAAAGCATGGACAACCTGCATTCTGTGTCGTTGGAGAAATACCTGCGTTGATGAAGTCAGAGAGCCACTGGAGCATTATGTGCTAGGCACTGGGCTGGGCACTTGGGATATAAAGATACCCCACCCCCACCTTCCCCAAGAGCAAAATCTCTGCCCTCAGTGAGCTTGCTGTTGTTTTTCAGTTGTGTCTGACTCTCCATGACCCCCTTTGGGGTTTTCTTGGCAAAGATCCTGGAGTGGTTTGCCATTGCCTTCTCTAGATGAGGAAACTAAGGCAGACAGGGGTAAGGGACTTGCCCAGGTCATGCAGCCAGTAAGTGTCTGAGGCCAGATTTGGACTCGCAAAGAAGAGTCTTTCTGACTCTAGGCACAGTGCTCTATCCACTGCACTGCCTAGCCGCCATTGTATAATGAGCTGCTGGGAAGTAGCTGAGAGGCTTAAAGGAGCTTATGGGCATGAAGGGCTGTGCCAACCATTAAGAGTCCCATGTACACACTAGCTGCTGTTGTCACTGTTCTTAATGAGGCTCTGACTTGAATGTCAAGCCCTTTGCCTAGCTCTTTGTGACCCTGCCCTGTGGGGACACTTTGTAAGGCCCAGGTACCTGGGAAAGGGGCTGAACCCTCCCTGCTTACTATGTGCATTTGGATTTCTTGGGGCCAGGTGGTGGAATAACTGCTTACAAATCTGAAATAATCCCTGGAGTGTAAACTCCTCTGATATCTCATCCTCTTCATCTCAGAAGAAACCAGGGTGCTTGCAGCTGTCTGCTGTCTCTGGCTGGGTCCAGCTGATCAACCTCCCTAGTTAGGCTGGGGAGAAGCCCCTAAGGTGGATGTAAGCAGGCAAAGCAATACAGCAAGTCACAGCTAGTGGCTGAGTCCATATTCAAGGCAAGGGGAAAACCATCCAGTGGCAACCTCGGCTTGGGGCCAGGGCCCACTCAATCCCCCAACCTCAGAGCTGGAGGGCCACTAGCTAGCCCTTGAACCCCTTCCTCACCTCTGGGCACTGGCCTGGGATTCAGATGGGCCTCTTGGAGTTCCAGCTTCCTTTGAGCCTCAGCTCCAGGGCCACCTGCCCCACAGACTCTTCCTTCCACCTTAGATATTAGTGTTTTGTTTTTTCCTTCTTCAAATGTGTATGGTGCAAAACAGCTAGGCAGTATTGTCAAGAGAGTTAGAATCTTGCCTCTGGCACAGGAGCTGGTTGGCCCTGGGCAAGTCACTTAACCTCTTCTAGACTTAACAATGATGCTGAGGATAGCTAGCATTTATATAGCTTCAAGATGTGTACCATATTTTACATACATTATCTCATTTGATCCTCACAACAACCCCAGGAGGAAGGTAACCATTCTTATCCCCATTTTACAGATGAGGAAACAGGCAGACAGAGATTAAGTGACTGGCCTAGCTTGTAAGTGACTGAGGTTGAATCCGAATTCAAGCCCAGCACTCTATTTGTAGTACCACCTAGTCTCCTTCAATCATTAGTTTTGTCATCTGTAAAATGGGGAAAATATTAGTACCTCTCTCAAACTGCACTTCCTTTGTGAGCCTTAAAGTGCTATGTAAATGTTAGCTATTATTATTATAAAGTCTAAATTCCTTAGAGGCAAATGGTGTTCCTTGTGGGCCTTCCTATTTAAGTCCAGGGGCTTCGTCCACTGGAGGTGCCTTATAAATATTTGGTGAATTGATTTGGATAGGAATGGACCCCTCAGAACCTCTAGACTGGTCTCCACCTGCCTTTGCTCACTGGTCTCCAGGAAGGAGGAACTCACGACTCCCGGAGGCACCTTTGGACCACTCTGATCAGTAGCAAGTTTTTCTTGACGTCAAGGCTATGTTTATGCCTTTGAATTCTTGGTCCAGTCTCTGGAGCCAAGCAGAACAAAGGGAATCCCGTTCCCGGTGGCCTGCTTTCAGATGACCGCTGCCCCACCTTGAGCTGGAGTCTTCTCTAGGTTAGACCTCCTGCTTCCCTGTAATTAACCCTCCCTCATATAACCTGGCTTCTGGTCTCCTCTGGACATTTGTTTTCAGCAGGTTGTCTTGGTGACTTTAGAAACACAACGAGGTGTGAGGTCAACATCTACAGCTGGCTCAAATCTCATCTTCTACAGGAGGCCCTTCCTGCTCCTCTCCCACTGCCAGTGCCTTCTCTGAGGATACCAGGCATCTTCTCTGGAAAGAGCTTGGATGTATTCATTAGATGTCTTCTCCCTCTTTGGGCAGTGACCTCCTTCCAGGCCAAGATAGCTTTTACCTCTCTTTGCATCCCAGCTCTTGGTGTAGCACAACTCAAAAATGTTTTCTTGACTGACCAACTGGATCTGTCTGTGTATACACACACACACACAAACACACACACTCACATGTATATACATATGTATGTATATACACATATACATACATACACATTGTTGTTCGGTTGTTTTTCAGTCCTGTAGGACTCTTTATGACCCTATTTGGGGTTTTCTTGGCAAAGATACTAGAAAAATTTGCCATTTCCTACTCCAGCTCATTTTATAGATGAGGAAACTGAAGCAAAAAGGTCAAATGACTTGCCCAGGGTCATACAGCTAGTAAGTGTCTGAAGCTGGATTTGAACTCAGGAAGAGGAGTCTTCTTGATTTCAAGCCCAATGTTTTATCTCCCGTGCCACCTAGCTCTGTGTGTGTGTATAATCACATCTCTACCTATGTATGTGTAGATATGTAGATATGTAGCTGTATATCCATATACGCCATGCAACTCATACATTGTATATTATCATATGTAAATTAGCACTATATTATAGGGAATTAATGTTTTAGATATATGTAATATACACACATATATTCATTTCTATTTGTACCCACGTGTGTTCGTGCAGTAGACAAAGCACTAGGCCTGGAGTCATAAATACTCATCTTTGTGAATTCAAATCTAGCCTCAGACACTTACTAGCTGGGTGACCTTGGGCAAGTCACTTAACCATGGTCCCGTATTAGTGTAATCCTCTCTTTTTACAAATAAACTAATTACAGTCTGAGCTGAGAGCTCAGGCAGTTGTCATTGGTTAGGAATTAGGGGATGGCAGGGTTAAGGACATGGCTACAAATGCATTCTCTATCTGGGTTTTCCAACATCCTGGATACCAGGCAGGTTTGAGGAGTGTCTCTAGAGCCAGCCCAGAAGTGAGGGTCTAACCTGGGACAGATGGTACCAGGCAGGTTTGAGGAGTGTCTCTAGAGCCAGCCCAGAAGTGAGGGTCTAACCTGGGACAGATGGCACCAGGCAGGTTTGAGGAGTGTCTCTAGAGCCAGCCCAGAAGTGAGGGTCTAACCTGGGACAGATGGCACCAGGCAGGTTTGAAGAGTGTCTCTAGAGCCAGCCCAGAAGTGAGGGTCTAACCTGGGACAGATGGCACCAGGCAGGTTTGAGGAGTGTCTCTAGAGCTAGTCCAGAAGTGAGGGTCTAACCTGGGACAGATGGCACCAGGCAGGTTTGAGGAGTGTCTCTAGAGCCAGCCCAGAAGTGAGGGTCTAACCTGGGACAGATGGCACTAGGCAGGTGGAGGAGTCTCTCTAGAGCCAGCCGAGAAGTAAGGGTCTAACCTGGGACAGATGGTACCAGGCAGGTTTGAGGAGTGTCTCTAGAGCTAGTCCAGAAGTGAGGGTCTAACCTGGGACAGATGGCACTAGGCAGGTGGAGGAGTCTCTCTAGAGCCAGCTGAGAAGTAAGGGTCTAACCTGGGACAGATGGTACCAGGCAGGTTTGAGGAGTGTCTCTAGAGCTAGTCCAGAAGTGAGGGTCTAACCTGGGACAGATCGCACCAGGCAGGTTTGAGGAGTGTCTCTAGAGCCAGCCCAGAAGTGAGGGTCTAACCTGGGACAGATGGCACCAGTCAGGTTTGAGGAGTGTCACTAGAGCTAGTCCAGAAGTGAGGGTCTAACCTGGGACAGATGGCACCAGGCAGGTTTGAGGAATGTCTCTAGAGCTAGTCCAGAGGTGAGGGTCTAACCTGGGACAGATGGCACTAGGCAGGTTTGAGGAGTGTCTCTAGAGCCAGCCGAGAAGTGAGGGTCTAACCTGGGACAGATGCCCCTTCAGAACAGTCATACTGTGGGCTGGCCTATTAACTTGAAATGGGATCATTAGATTTGGAGCTCACAGAGACCTTCATCATCACCTTGTCCAACTCTTTCCTTTTGTAGATGAGTATCCTGAGATCTGCCCAGAGCCTCATGGGTGGTACTCAGCAGGGCCCAGTGTGAGGCCAGCTCCTCTGTCACCAGACGCTGGGCTTTCTACAATTTCTCCACAGTGCTACCAAGAAGCCAAGATGCTTTGCCAGCTCCTGTTTCTCAGTCTGATCCTCTTCGAGGTGAGCCTAGGAGCCTCTCCCTGACCAAAGCAGTGTCTCTGGATGTCCAGCCTCCAGGCTGGCAGTGCCTGGGCCAAACTTTACACCCGCTGAACAAAAACACCAGACCGCCTTTGTGCCCCTTGGGGGACAGGGGAGGCAGGGAGGGCTACCAAAAAGAATGCTCTGTTAAGCAGAATGAAGGAGTGGAAAAAGCCCTGGTCTGAGGATCAGAAGACCTCGGCTCGGGGCCCAGCTCCAGCATGAGCTTCAGCAAATCACTTCGTAGCTCCTCGGAGCCTCAGTATTCCCATCCATAAAATGGGAACAGTGCCCATGATATCTGCTTCCCAGGGCTGTCAAGAAGAAAGTCCTTTGTAAACTTTAAAGTGCTGCTCATTATTATTATGAATAATTTACCATTGACATTCTATATTATCAAGTATATCATTATTATTAATTGGCTATCTCAATGACATATATAAGAGAGCGAAGAGTCTTAGGATCATAGATGTAGAACTGGAGGGGACCTTAGTGGTCACTGAGCCCAGCTCCTTCATTTTACAGAGGAGGAAACTGAGCCCAGCTCCCTCATTTTACAGAGGAGGAAACTGAGGCCCAGAGAGGGGAAAGGATTTGCCCAGGGTCCCTGCCCTCTAAGGGATTTCATTCTACTGGGGGAAGACAATGTACATACAAGTAACACTGAATGCATGCACAGTAAATATACAGTAGACAGGTTGACAGTAGCGGGAAAGTACTCACCTCTGCTTTGGGGTGGGGGATGGGAAAGGCCTCCTGGGGAAGGGGCACCTTGGTGCTGAATTGGCAGAGGGGAGGAGGAAGCACATTCCACGGGGTCTTATTCACCAGGGTGCCTAGAACAGTGCCTCATACAGACTAGGTGGCATCTGAATCCAGGGTTCTAGGGTCTTTCCAGCCTTGGATTTTCTTGGACCGTTTTTTCTAGAGCTCATCTTTGTCCCCATGTCCCTCTACTCTGTATTGTGCTTGTTCTGAGGCCAGACTCTGCATCCCTATCAATCCTTGTGTCCCTGGCAGGTAGCACACGGGCATGTATCTTACACATAGTAGGTCTAAATGAAATCTTTTTTGAGATGAAATGAAAAAAATTAGATAATTTCCTGGCTGGTAGAACGAAAGGAAAGTGAGTAACCTGGGAATTAACTTCCCAGTTATTATCTACAAGCATTATTAAGCACCTACTGTGTGCCAGGCATTAGGCTAAGCACTAGAGATACCCAGGAAGGTTGAGAATAAGCCCCTGCCTCCCATGAACTCTCCTTCCAATGGAAGACCCAACAGTATGTACACACAAGGAGTATATAGCGTGAATGAGAGGTTATCTCACTGCTAGGATGGGCCTCCTGATTAGTCATGAAGGAAGCCGGAGAAGGTGGGCAGCAGAGGGGATGAGGTCATGGAGGAGAGCCAGGGGCAGGCACCAAGGCAGCAGAGGCGGGATGCACAAGGGGGACAGCCTCTGGATCACGGAGCACACAAAATGGAGTGAAGTATTGGACAGGGCCACGTTCTGAAGGGTTTGGAAAGCCAGAGGACTTTGTGTCTGATGCTGGTGCGATGGGGAGCTTCTGCAGTTTACCAAGGTGGCAGGGGTGAACACAGGAGATCTGCACTTCAGCAGATGAGCAGAGAATAGATTGGAGCGGAGAGAGGCCTGAGGCAGGGAAGCAACCAGCGGGGATAATGCAGTAGTCCAGGCATGAGAGGATGAGGGCTTAAACCAGGGAGATGGCCGCTGGGAGTGGAGAGATGGGGACACAGATGAGAGATGCTCAGGAGTTAGACATGACAAGGCTTGGTGACAGATCGGATGGATAGGGTGAGAGAGAATGAGGTGTCCAGGGAGGATGGTGGTGCTCTTGATAGAAACAGGGACGTTCAGAAGGGGGAAGGTTTACCAAAGATAATGAGTTCCGCTTTGGAAGGGTGGAGTTTAACACATCTACTGGACATCCATTGGAAATGTCCAAAAGGGAGTTGGTGATGCAAAGGCAGAAACTGGTAGCTGGCCTGAATGGACTGTAGGGAAGAAGCTGAGCAGTAGAAAAAGTGCCCCCAAATCCACTTTGCCATTCATGAAGTGAAAATAATATAAGAAAGGACAGTTTTGAGCAGCAGAAGAAATTATTATCTCTGCTGGAGCATGGAAAGGTGTTGTGAACAGCCCCCCCCACTTCTGACTCGGCTAAATCCCCACTTTCTCCAGGACCACTTCCCTGGTCCCCTCCCCCAGCTACCAGCACCTTCCCTTCAAGGTTTATCCAGTACCATTTCTTGTGTTTTGTTTCTAACTATATGCTTGGGGTGTTTTTTCCTCCCTGAGAATATAAGCTCTTTCAGAACATGGGCTATTTTCTCCAGTGCCCCTCATAGGTGGTGCTTAATAAATGCTTGTTGGTTGATTGGCATTATTTTTTATTAACTAGTTGCTAAGTTCAGTTGTTTCTGCTCCTGGAGCATATGTATTAAATTTTTATACCCTCTAAATTTTTGGACCCTGAGACAAAACTCTGATTACCTCACCCTACTTTTGGCCTCAACTAGGAGTCAAACCCCGGTTAAAGGTTCTTATTACTGTCTTGCTTTGGTATCGCATGGCGAGAAGTTACCTGCCAAACCAAGCCAGTGGTATGTGCTGTTCCTAAGCTGTCTCACTCCTTAGCCTTGCACCGCCAAAAATCCCACTCTGATTTGTCACACCAAAAGGCTGGCATCTTAGTAAACAGTAGTCTACACTTCTGTTCATTCTGAGTCACCACTGAACATTCAAGCCAGAATTCCAGGCCTTTGGAATGTGCCCTGCAGTGTATAATGAAGCCAAGGAGGAGGGCAGAGGCATGTGGCCAGCTGCGTTCATAAAGGTGATTTCTGAGCCCTGTATGTCCACTGCTCAACATCCCATGGGTGGTGGAGTGTTTGCAATGGGCCCAGGGGTCTTCCCCTTGTGGCCTCAGATGCTACTGAAGGCAATGGGGATAAAGACTGGGGTAGAAGGACAGAAAGTATTGTGGGGTAGACATAGCCATCAGGTCTAGCTCTGGGGTTATAGGATTATTGCTGAAATGGAACTTGGAGGTCAGCTACCCCATTTGACAGATGAGTGAACTGAGATCCAAAGAGATGAGGTGACCTGTCCAAGGCTAAACAGGTAGGAAGTAACAGAGGCGGAATTCAAACCCAAGTCCTCTGACTCCAAATCCAGAACCGTAACTAGGAGCTATGATACCTGGGGTAAATTCTTTTGGGGTGCATGGTAGTACACAGGGCAGTGATGCTGGATCAGGGCCCACCCGATCCCTAGAGAATCCACCTGAACTCTCCCTCAGGGCCTGGGGAGGTGCGCCCAGGGAGAGAAGCCCCATAACCATGGGCCTTGAGCAACATTGGGCTGCCCAGTGGCGTTAGCTGGTGGAGGTCTCCACGGCCAGACATGGAGGTGGCAATCCCCATGGGGAGGAAGTGGGTTCTCTTCCCACTGCCCCAGAAGGAAATTACCAGGTGGAAAAGAAGAAAAACCTTCTCATCTGGAGCTTTGTCCTGGGTCTGGGCTAGCTTCCCTTGGGGAGGCAGCCATCTTCAAAGGCCACTCTGAACAGTGAGAGACAACAGCTGTCTCCCAGTTTCCTTCATGATGAGGTCAGACCAGGCCCTCACTCTTCTGAGTACTTTCTTCAGGTATCACCTTTGCCCCAAGTGCCCCCCAGCTGGCACAGCACTGCCAGGATTTCAACATGGCCTCCAATGGGTTCTGGAACCAAGAAGTAGCTCATGAGGCAGTGGGAAAACACCTCCTCCCCACACTAAGCCAGAAACCTAAGCAAGGGCTTCATTTCTCTCAGTTTGCTTTCTCCTGTGAAGTGTGTATGTGTGGGGGGTCACACAGGATCAGTCCCATCTGGGTCCAGAGGACCTGAGCTCAAATCCTGCCTCTGAACTTTACTGCCTGTGTGGCCTTGGGTGAGTCATTTATCCTGACTGAGCCTCAGTTTCCTCAACTGTAAAATGCGGAGATTCGATCTGATGACTTTTGGGGTCTGTTCCAATGTGAAATCTAGGATTCTGTGATCTGAGGGCTCCAAAGGAGGGGAGCGAAGTCGTGGTTTGCATATGGCATCTGAAACTAGACATGTGTCTGACTTAGTATGGTGTAGGGGAGGGAGAGGTTTCTTTGAAATATTTTTTATGTTAAAAAGGGGAAAAGATTGGGAAATACAGGATTGATCCTCCAAGTCCCTTTCATCTCTAAGATGTCTATGGGGGGATCTAAGCTTGGGGAACACCACTGTGAATAAGGGGCAGCTGGGATCTGGGGACCAGCAGTCAGATCAGACTGTATCCGTGATTGCTATGCCTGTCTGAGACCTCTTCCTACCTGTCACTATTGAGTAGAGTCCAGCTCGAAGAGGTCACCATGGTTATATGCTGTGGATCAGAATCCCCAGTTCTGCTGTGTTACCTTAGATGAAGGAAGGGGAAGAAATCAGCATTTTATGTAGCTCCTACAGCACCATGAGAAATGCTTTACAAATATTATTTCATTTGAGCTTCATGAGAACCCTGCAAAGTAGGCACTATTATCCCCATTTTATAGTTGAGGAAACTGAGGCAAACAGAGGTTAGGTGACTTGCCCAGGGTCACACAGACTGTAAATGGCTGGGGCTAGATTTAAACTCAGTTCTTCCTGAATCTGTCCACTGAGCCACCATCCACCTGCTGAGTTTTCTCTGGGTCTCGGCATCTACAAGGGGACAGGACTAGATGATGCCTTCCGTCACTGACTCCTGGGTTACCCCAGCCCCCCTATGCTCAACAGTCCACCCATCCTGGCCTGCTTGCCGTGCCTCCCATATGTTCCATCTCCTGTTTCTGTCTTTGTATGAGCCGTCCTCTCTCCGTGCCTAGAATGCTCTCCCTTCTCCCTTCTAACCTTAGAGCTTCTGCCTTCCTTCAGGACTTGATCGAGCACCACCTTGTC